GAGAGAACCCGGCCCCCTCCGTATCAAGCCAGCGAGCCCCGGGGCGGCACTTCTGGGCTCTTCGCTCCAGGAAGCCACCGGGACGCACCCGGGGCAGCCGATCTCCCTGCCGCGGACGGACCCACCCCGCTTTTATCCCACCGCCCCCGGTTTTTAGGCCCTGGCAAACGCGAGGTGACCCGAGGCCCTCGGGACAGGACAAAGCCGTTCCCCTCTCCCTGCTGCGATGCATTTTACTCCGGTTACATGCGTTGAAGCCTTAGGGCCGAGTGCGAGCGCACGGAGACGGAAGGGAAGGGGGACGCGGCGATGTGCCGGTGACAGTGTGGCACATGAGTCATAGCTCGATGGGACTCGGCGGCCCCGAGGACGCGGCGCTCGCCCGGCCGCGCCAGGCCAACGAGGCTCTGCGCCGGGGCTCGCTCGGCGCGTGATGAGCGCATCTCCCGGAGAGCCCTGCAGCCCAGATGCGACGCTGTCGGAGCGGGCGCCCAGCCCTGGGTGCAGCCACCCACGCAGCGGGGAAACCTTATTATTTCTCAGCTCCCAGTTTCCTAAATCCTTCCCCATGCTGGTCCACTGGTCTGGACTGGTTCCCGACCCCATTTGCCCAGTCTGAGCTGAAGTCCTGCACTTGTTCCTACCCTCGCTGTGCTTATTTCAGCCTCGAGCGTGCTTTCCTCATCCCCCTCTCGTTAAAGGATGGTCTCCCGCTGGGGTCTGGGTCGTGCCCAAGCTGCTGCGAGCCCGGCGCAGCCAGGGCACGGGCGGCCCGGCCCCGTACCCAGCTCTGCCGATGCGTCGCGTGGCTCTGGGGCTGGAAGCTGAGAGCGGCTCAACTCGTTGCGTGTGGTTTGGGAGAAGCAGGGGGCTCAGGGAAGGTCCTGCGAGTGCTCCCAGCCTTGCTCAGCCTGGGGACCCCCCGCTCCAAGCCCAGCCCTGGGAGGGAGCTGGGCCAGAGCACTTGGGGTCTCGGCTTCCCACCGTCGGTGAGCGACCCGGGGCAAATGGGGGCCGGTTTGGGTACCCCGGGCCTTGCTTTGCCTCCCTGCAGTAACCCCCTTCTTCCTCGCGTCCCCCAAAAAGATGTCGGAGGCGTTTGTGCCCTGTCACGACGGAGGGGCCGGGTCTGGCCAGCCCAGGCGGAGACGATTTGATCCAAAGAAATCAAAATTCACCCCCGAGGAGGCCGTGACTCAGATTTGCCAGGCTGCGTTTCCATCCGCCGCCCTGCCTGCCTGCCTGCCTGCCTGCCTGCGGCTGCGGGGGGCGGCCGGGGGGGGGGGTGCCCCAGAGCCCGCCGCCCTGCCTGCCGGCCTCCCTGCCTGCCTGCGGCTGCGGTGGGCGGCAGGAGGAGAGGTTGCCATAGAGGGTCTGAGCGCCGCCAAATCCCCGCGGCTTCGCCTTTACGCCGCCGCGAATCCCCAGGGAGGGGAAACCGGGGGCCGGCTGCTCGTGCCCCCCGTTAGCCACGGTCGCCTCCGCAGTCACCGGAGCAGCTTCAACCCAGCAGCTCCGGCACGGGAACCCCGTTCCCGAGGGAGCTTCCCCGCAAGCGTGGGCAGCCCGGGGGAAGCATCGCCCTCCCTTCGGCTTCGCTAATAAGCCAAAGCGAGGGGCGAGCCCCCCGTCCTCCTGCCGGTGCCCCCCCCAGCTCCTCGTTTGCTGTAGCACAGCCCTCCCCGCCACCTCCCTTCCCTGGGCTGTTGCAATGGACTCTCCCAGTGCTCGGTGTCTGTGTCGGAGGCTGCGGCGTTAACGCTGGGTCTGGTACCCGTGAGCTGTTTTCTTGCCGTATCCCTGCCGGAGCATCCTTCCTCGCAGCGCAGGAGGCGGACGCCGAAAGGAGGGCTGGAGCGGAGCGAGGGCTGAAGCAGGTAAGGAGAGAAAGAAATGCCTTTTATAAGGCAGATCCCCCTCCTCTCCCCGCTGCTTTTAATTAGCATCCTCGGAGCCGCCGTCTGATGGATTAGGGGTTCGGCTTCTCCTTCCCACTTGGTGTGGCCATTTTGTCCTGGAAAACCTTGCCTCTAGCCTTGCTCTGTCTTTTTATGTGCGTGTTTAATAGCCTCTTGTCATCCCTCCCGCGCCGTCGTACGGCCGGGGAATCTCTGCCGATGGGGATTGGGGTTTTGGCGTGGGGATGGGTGTTTATCGTGGTGGTACCGGCAGGTTTTGGGGAGGGGGAGCGTCACAGCTCTCCGGGGGTGGCAAGGGGGGGTGTTGGAAGATGACCTTGGACAGAGGCGATTTAAAACTCTTCTCCCCTGTCGCCATGTTCTTGCCATAATGCAAAAAGGCTGGGGGCTGCGGCGGGGGGGGCGGGGGCAGTGGGACCTCCCGGGGGGGGTTTGGGGGTGCGCGGCAGGGCTGCATCGATCGCTGGCTCCGGTCGGACGCGTGGCAGGAGGGAATGGGTCCAGAGCCTGATAACCTTGTCTAGGGCTGGCGGTGACTGCTCCGGCCAGCGCCAGGACGGGGCTGGCAAGGCCAGCGGTGTGTTTTTGTGACCAGAAGAGCATTTTTGGGGACCCCCCCCAGGCTCTGGCACGGAGGGTGGCTGCGGTCTGTCTGATTTCTGGCTTCCTTGTGAAATCAAAGCCCTGATCTCAAAAGCATCCGTCGCTGACGCGCGGCGTTGGCTCGGCCGCTCGAGGCTCCCCGGCTCGTGCAGAGCAGCCTCTCGGTCACGGAGCTGAGCTGTGACCTTGCTCCCCGGCCCGTCCTCTTCCCCGGCAGGTCTTCGGCCTCCCTCTGCCCCCCTCTTCCTTTTGCCCTGTACGTCACGGGCCGTATAACGGCATCCCGCCGCACGGCCGCATTGGGAGGCACCGCAGGGAGCCGCCAGCCCGGCTGGAGCAAAATGACCTTGGCCATGAGTTGGCTCCTTCCAGGGGCCTCAGGTGCCAATAGCTTTAATCCGAGGAGGGGAGCGGGGGCTCCCCTGGCAGGGCCCGGGGCTGGGGTTGCTCCCGACCGGCCGGGAAGGAGAGGGCAGGGGGTGCATTCGCGATTTTACGCTGCTTAAAAGCACCGGCCCGGCTTTATTCAGAAATTGGGGGCGCCGTGCCGTGCCGCAGCACCGTCCCCGCACCGTCCCCGGGTCCCTGCCGGCTGCGCAGAGCCGGCGTGGGCTCCCGCCCCGGGGGGAGCGCTGCCCCCAGCCCCGGCTATTTCGGAGGGGCTAATTTTAGCTTCCCCACCGTGCCCCGTCCCCTCGCTCGGGGAGGGGGGACACGGTGCCGGCTGCGTCCCTCTCCCTGCGGCTCAACTCCTGCCTCGCCGTCCGTGCCAGAGACAAAAATAACCTTTTTGGGGGGGTCTCACCAGCCCGTGCCCAGGCTGGGGGTCTGCGGGTCCATCCCTGTCACGAGCTGGGCTGGGCTCTGCGAGGCGCGGGGGGGCTACGCCGCCTGCCCTTGGCCTTCGCAGCCTGCGGGGCTGGGGACGGGGGTGCAGGGTGCGTGGGGACAGGGAGGTGCCACCTGCAGATTAGAGCCTCTGGGGTGTAGCCGGGTGCCCCCTCTCCTCCCCAAAGGCCGGACCCTGGGGGTGCCGAGGGTGCCCCCAGCACCCACCGGCTCTGCCGACGCCGGCGTCTCTCGCCAAACACAACCCGCAGCCAGGTCCCTTCTGGAAGCCTCCCCCGGGAGCGTGGCCCGCACACGAGGTCCCCGGAGCCGCTCTGCCACCGTGGCCAGCCTCGGGCAGCCCAGGACCCCTCCGAGGGACCCCCATCCCTTGAGCCCCCTGCCCCGGGGCACGGCCACGCAGCGCTGGGGGTGTCCTGGGAGGCTTTGGGGACCCCCGGGACCTTGGGTGCTGGTCCCCTCGCTGTCCCTCCGGCGCCGGTGCTGCTCCCGCCCGCCTTTCCCGAGGAAGCAGCAGGGTTCGGTCTCGTTGGCCTGGTTTTGGGTGGTGACTTGCAGCGCTGAGTGGGTGGCCCCGACGTCCCCCCCCCGGGCTCCCTCGTGGGGACGGATCCGGACCGCAGCCCAGCACGGGGGCGGCGGTGCTGGGTCCCCCTCCCGCTGGCGGTGGGCTGGGGTGTCCCCTGGGACCCCCCACCCCTGGGGTCACCCTGTGCCCTGCTGGGGTCAGCTGGGGGGTCCCCGTCCCCCCGGGGGCCCCCTCCCCAGGGTCTCACCCCAGCACTGTGACCCCCCCGCCCGAGGGTACCCCAAGCTGGGGGGGGGAATGCAGCTGCGTGGCCACACCCCCTGAAGCTCATTGGCTGAACAGCTGGGCCATGCCTCCACGGCCCCATTGATGCTGGTGGGGTGGCCACACCCCCTGGAGCTCATTGGTCCTTGGCCCGGCCACACCTTCCCGGCCCCATTGAGCGGATGGCGGGGCCTCTTCTCTCAATGGGCTGGGTGGGGGACATCGGTGGGGCCAGGGGGGTCCCCGCGGCCTGGGGGGCCCTGGCCTGCCGGGGGGGATGGCGGGGCTGTGGGACCCTCCTGGGATCCGTCACCGCTGGGATCCCCGCCGTGGGCCCAACTGGGGGACGCCGCGGCCCTGCAGAGCTCCGGGCGCGGACCCCCATCCCCAAGGGCCACCGGGGTCCCCGGGCGGGTGGATGGGGCAGGTGACCCTGCAATGGCGGGGGAGGCGTGGGCCAACCCCCTCGTCCCTCAGCTCCGTGCGGATCCGTCCTCCCTCTCGCCGTGTTGAACCCGCGGGGGCCGCGCTCCCCGCTCCCGCAGATTGATTTATTCAGGCAGCGCCGGCGAGGTTGGGTTCAAAGGGGCAGCTGGGGGGAAGAGGCAGAGAGGGGCCAACAAGCGCCGTAGCTTGTGCTCAGCCACGTTATCAGGCACTGGAGAATCCACCTCGGATCCCACCCTCAGGTCAACGGGGGTCTAAATCCTGCCGAAACGGGGGTGGCTGTGAGAGCTTCGGTCCTCCAAGCAAGCAGAGAGGGCACCTGAGCCTGGGGGGCTGGCACGGACCCGGCGTCCCCCAGCGCTGCCCCCATCCCGGCCCCCACTGCGGGTGCCTGGCGCTGGGGTGACCCCCCCGCCACCTCGCTGTGGGGCGGGGGTCTCCCAAATCCTCCTGTTCCCATCCGAGATGGGGGAAAAGTGCTGGGGGTGCTGGCGGGGGAGCTCAGAGCGGAGCAAACCCCGGGGGGAGGTGGGGTGCGAGGCCGTTCCCATCCTAAAACGGCCCCTGCTTGTGTCTGGGCTCCTCAGGTCCGGGCCAGCGCCTGGGGTCCCCCCGCGTCCCCTCCCAGCTGGTGCCACGCGGATGGGTAGCGCCGTCGCCCATCTCCCCGCGTCCCACCGTGGTCCCCGGGTGTGAGGGAGCCGCCCCCGACACAGAGACCCCCATCCCGGTGTCCCGGCCGATCCCACCGGCACCATGGATGAGAGCTTCCGAGACCGGACGGCGTTCATCCGGGGCGCCAAGGACATCGCCAAGGAGGTGAAGAAACACGCGGCCAAGAAGGTGAGCAAGGGCATGGACCGCATGCAGGACGAGTACACCAAGCGCTCCTACTCCCGCTTCGAGGAAGAGGAGGACGATGAAGACTACGCGCCCCAGGACGGCTACTACCGGGGGGGCGAGGGGGCCAACGAAGAGGAGGGGGCTTCCAGCGATGCCACCGAGGGTCACGACGAGGAGGATGAGATCTACGAGGGCGAATACCAGGGCATCCCCCGGCACGACTCGCTGAAAACCGGGGAGCGGCTGGGGGCCGAGGCGGCCGTCGGCGCCTTCGACGACAGCGAGGGACAGCGGCGGAAGGACAAGGAGGAGCTGGCGCAGCAGTACGAGCTCATCCTGCAGGAGTGTGGCCACGGCCGCTTCCAGTGGACCCTCTACTTCGTCCTGGGACTGGCCCTCATGGCCGACGGCGTGGAGGTCTTCGTGGTGGGCTTCGTCCTGCCCAGCGCCGAGAAGGACATGTGCCTCTCCGACTCCAACAAGGGCATGCTGGGTGAGGAGGGGATGGGGGGACGGGAGGGACAGGGGGACATGGGGGGCCTGAGGGACAGGGGGACGTGGGGAACAGGAGGGACAGGGGGACATGGGGGAGGGCTGGGAGATGTGGAGAGAGATGGAGGCATGGGGGGACGCAAGCGGATGGGGACATGGAGGGACAAATGGGATATGGGGGGACAGGAGGGGATATGGGGAGGTGTGGGGAGAGATGAGCAGATGGGGGGACACAGGGGAGATGGGGGACGTGAGCAGGAGGGGACATGGAAGGGTGTAGAGGGACACGAGTGTGAGGGACGTGCAGATAAGGGATGTGGAGGGACATGTGGGATATGGGGGGACACGGGGAGATGTGGGGAGACAGGAGCAGATGGGGACATGGGGGAACGTGAGCGGACAGAGGGACGCGGGGGGACACGGGGGTGCCAGGGAGCGGGGACATGTGGGGGTCGGAGAGGCGCAGGGGAGGTGGGGGGCACGGGGCGTGTGGGGATGGGGAAGGACGGGGGGGACTCAGGAGATGTGGGGGGACATGGGACATAGGGGGGGGCAC